AGGTGGCAAAGTTGAAATTCGGAAAGAGCACATCAAAATCTATAAAATTACCAATTTTCAAAACTCCCGGAAAACTTTCTAGTCAAAACTACCAAATGACTGTACTATTAGTTAGAACTGCCGAAAAAGTTAGATATTATTTAAAATATTTTAATGCTTTTCACAATTATTACATGTACCAATTCCGGAAGAAGAAGAAAATGAAAATGCTTTTTTCAAAGCAAAAGTGAATTTGATGTTGTACGTATTTTTATTTGATTTGTTTCAGGGTTGAGTTATAGCGTGGGTTCTCTTAAGTTCAAGGGCAGGAAGGCTGACGACGATGGAGAGGCTGTATCGAAATTGAAAATTGCTGGTGCCATTCCTCTCCTTGTCTCCAGCACCCCAGAGTTATGTTTCGGTTGGGAAGCCAGCAACCACATCACCGGGGTGACCAAGAATCCCTATAATCCAGCGTATTCATCAGCTGGATCGTCTGGAGGCGAGGTAAATAATCTTAAACTAGTGTGAACAATGTGAAAACGTTCTAACAATCAGCGGCTTCTTCACAGTTCAACCTAATGGGTTTGCAAATGAAGAAAAGATAATGATTTTGAGAAACGAATTGGACTGAGAATTTCTTTTTTTGGCCCCTGTTGCACTCAAAAAGGAATATTCTAATTATAAAACTAAATTGAGTGCCTACTCCTTAAAGTAATTCAACACAAGTTATTTTTTATCCAAAACTCAAAAACCTCTTCTTAATTTTTGTAGTTATGAAACTCAAGAAAAAAAACTGTAGGTAAATTTTGAATAATTAAAAAAGGTAAATCAAAATTATTAATAAAAATTAGTAGTTAGATAAAAATACAAACATCGGCCTATTTGATAAGATTTAACGCAAATTGTTCCCTAAAGTACAATAACTACTTTTTTTTTTTGAGAGTTTTCGTTTACCACCTACAATTATTAGCGACTTCAGAACTAGTTTTATAGATGTGAAAACTCCTTAGTATAGGCAACTTAAAATACCTCACAAGAAGGCGATCTTCAAATAAAATGGAAATGTTTAAAAAAACAAGGTTTTAACTTCCATTTTTTTGAAAACTTTATACGTAATGTTAATAATGGACTGAATATCATGTTAATATCATTTTAAAAAAAGAAAGCTGTAAATTTTTGGTAATTAAAAGATAATGCAAACTTCTAAAATCTTCGTAACACAAAGATACTTCTTAAAACAAATGCCTACGTTTCTAAAACGTATTTTAAAAGGTAAAGCAATAAATGTGCAGAATATGAATGTGAATAAAATCAATCGTATGATAAATAAGTAAATTAATTACAGGGTGCCCTCTTAGGGGCTGGAGCGTCTGTAATAGGAATTGGATCAGACATCGCTGGTTCAATTAGATTGCCGGCCCTATTTAATGGAATTTTTGGACATAAACCAACCCCAAGTAAGATATTTAGTATCAAAAAACCATATTAAAAGTCAACCCTTTTTTTATAAAACAGCTAAATTTTTTCTTCGTGTTCTTATTACGATTTCTGTTC